CTACCTCAAATTAACGTAGTATTTCTAAAATTGCTGCTTTTACCTTATTTGGACGCATTTGGAATAAAATTAGCCATTATTGTATCGGACAACCGAAAAAGCGGGGACAGAATAACATTCATTGTAAAGTTCATGCACACTTTAAACTATTTTAAACAAATCATAAAATATCTTGCAGCTTTGTCAACGCGCAAATGATTAAGTAAAGAATCGCTCGAAACTTATCAAAGCTCATGAAATTGTCCGTATTATAGAAAATTTGATCCATACAACAAAACACCTTCATCCTTAAGACCTTGCGTCCATACACGGAAAAAAAAGAATTAGCTAAATTAGCTAATGCATTCGCTAATATGGCCTTAGATGAGAATATTAGCTCTCCTAGCTAATTCTTAGCCAGGAGAGCTAATAAATTAGCCATAACAGTTGTGTACAAAATAAAGCAACTAGCTGTGAAAGCTAATATTTTAGCTTTCTTAGCTGGGGATTAGCTAGGAAAGCTAATATTCTCATCTAAGGCCATATTAGCGAATGCATTAGCTAATTTAGCTAATTCTTTTTTTTCCGTGTATACTTCACAGAAGAAGGCACGTTCCTGATGTGGATCAAACTACCCATAATACGGACGATATCATCTGTGTTTAGGATGATTTGTGATCTGTATTGCACCAAATTCCCCGTGAAATACAAATAGCACATCCGTAAGGAAATAAGAGTGCTCACTGGTATCTGATCTTATAATTTCGTTTCCACCCACTTCTTTATTATGTACTGCGCACCGAAAACTATTATTAAATTACTCATATTTTCTGTGCAAAATTTGTCTTTTCTATGATTTTTTATTCCGTCCTTCTGCTTTCAAAAAGGTATCCAGCGGGCTTGGGCAAACGACCTCGTGTCTGTGTCTGTCTGTGTGTCTGTCTGTTCCACTAAGGAGATGTGCAACAGACTTCTAATTTTCAGGGCATCTTCAGGTTCATTCCTACAAAACGAAACGCCTATGGCAAATCCTAGCAACCAACCCCCACTGGGATGAAAGGGGGTATCAAAGAACAAGCAGGCACGCCCTTCCGCCAAACGAAGTTGCCAGCTCCGCTTCGCTCCGCCGGCAAGTCCGTTCGGCAGGGGCCGTGCCTGCTTGACCTGCCAGCGGCGATGGTCGGGCCTGCGGCCCGACTATTTCTATCACACGATTTGCTGAAAAACGTGATCGAATGATGTAGCGGGCCTTCGAACTGCTAAAACCCGTCGTCTTTTAAATTTGCCCGTAGGCACGAAAAAGGGTAACGGTGAAGCACCGCGACTACAACCCACCCGTCTGCTTAGCAAACGTTTTTTGGGGTGGGGGGGTGGGGGGGGGGAGGAAGTTTCTCTCCTCTTTTGCGGTTTTTGGCTTTCTTCTACAACAAGACCCTCCAGCGCCTAAATGGTTAGAGATAGAGCCAAACGGACAAAATTTTCGTTTATAGGTCTCTACTCTGACGAGTTACCCCTTAGGAGATCATAACAAAATAGTTTTTTCTGACTTTTTTGACCTACCCTATTTTCTTTGATACCCCCTTTTAGCCCTAAAGCTTTAGGGGTGGTTGCCAGGATTTGCCGTAGGCGTTTCGTTTTCCAGGAGTGAACCTTAAAATACCCTGAAAATTTGAAGTCTCTAGCACATCTCCTTATAGTGAAACAGACAGACACACAGACAGACAGACAGACAGACAGACAGACACAAGGTCGTTTGCATAAGCCCACTAGATAGCTTTTCTAAAGCAGAATGGCGGGCTAAAAACGTACAAGATGGCCTCAAATCAAAAAGTGGGAGAGAAAGTACTATCGGAAACAGCACATTCTGAATCAGAATCAGTTCTTGGAATTGCCGTGCCATGAGTCGTTTCAGAGCTAGAGGTCGATACACTTTAAACAATGGCAAAAAGTCCAGTTTTAAGACTATCTGAGAAACAATACAAGCTACAAACTGTGCTTGTCATTTTTTTTATCCATTTTCAAAGCAGAAGGGTGGGGTGTAGTCACGGTGTCGCACTGTTACAGTCTTTTCTCATATGCAGGGAGCTAATCTTCAGGACCACAGCCCCCCCCCCCCACAAGCCGAAGTTTATTCGAAATATATATGTGACTTGTTGGTCAGTTGGTCGGGCCGTAGGCATGACAAAACGCAAACGCCACCGGCAAGCCAAGCAGGCCCGTTCCTTGCCGAACGGAGTTGCCTGCGGAGCGAAGTGAAGCTGGCAATTTCGTTTGGCGGAAAGGCGGGCCTGCTTTTTTAAAAGGAAAATGTTGCCAAAGCCACCATTTTGACGTGTAGCGCTGCCACCTAGTTTATAGGACACATCTTTCTTCCAACAGGACCTGAACCGTGAGACTGAGGGGATGAAGATTGATATCCAGAGCCTTGAACGCTGGCGCGATCGTATTTACGAGGCCATACACTCTGGAGTCATTATTACGGTAAGTCAGTGTTTCCTGTTCATTTTAAAATAAAACTCTCTGTTCGGCTGTTAACGTTCACGCTCTACCCAGACACTACACTAGTGACCCTCAAGAAATGACGACACCTACAGCTACTTCCTGCGAATATGGATGTCTAACTGTTAAAAAAAGTTGTCGTAAAATCTGACACTTTAGTTGTCAATTTTGTTAGCAGCAAAGCTTTTTATCGCGATGTAGTTAATACGGTGTAGGTTCTCCCTCCGACCGGTAGCGGGCTCAAAGACGGTTGCGGAAAGACAGCACATTCATAGTTCCAGAAGAGCCGCCAGTGGCGCTCAAACTACGAATGTACCATCTTTCCATGACCCACACAGATAGCTCAAAGCCGACACCGTATTAGGGGCATTCCAAACTAGATTATTAAAATAAAAGTGACCCCTTGGGGAAAATATTTTTTTTTGCCCTAAAAATAGGAGCTAAAAGTAGCAGAAGGGCCAACATACTCATTTTTTTTTATTGCTTCACCTTAAAGAGGAGGTTGAATACTTCAGGAAATCACTGTGATACGACCTGTTAACGGTGTGCAACATCTCGAAAAATGGTGGTCAAAACTCTCGAAAACTCTTGTTTTGGAAATTGACGAGTTTTCGGTTTTCGTCAGCCTGTAGCGTGAAATCCACGCTCGGTCCCACATGTTTCACCCCTTTTATTCGAAAGGTATAGTAACTAACTTTCAATTCAAGCCCTGATAAGGTCAAAAAATTATGGGGAAGTACCCCAACTAAGCTCGCCAAAACGCATGATTTTAGAACGAAATGTTGCATTTTGGGGTATAAGGAGCTCAGAAACGCCTATTCTGAGGCCGGAATCGGTTTCCTGTGAACATTTTACGTCCCGGGACATGCCTGCTCGCCTCCTAGAGCGTCCTGGCTCCGACAACGGACATTTTTACGAAATTTCAGTGAAACCCTCTTAAAAACACTTCAAATGCCCATAACTTCTGAACCGTTTGAGCTACAAAGCTCCAAAAAATCAGGAAAATGTATCTTAAAAGAGACTATTTTCAGGGCATTTTTTCCCCCAAGGGGTCACTTTATTTTAATAAATCTAGTTTAGAATGCCCCATGAACGAAATCGTGCTTTATATAAACACAGTGGAAAAACTAATGTGACACGTGTACATCAGTTGGTGTGACCAGTTTTTGTTACACCATGTAACGTGACCAGGGCTAGGAAAGTTACTTTTAAAAATGTGTTGCAGTTATTTTTGCCACAAATGTAACCAGTTTCCGTTACAGTTACTTTGTCTTAAAGACTGCCATTACTGTTACATCTTTCTCGCCAAAAACTGTAAGTAGTTACAGTTATCCTGGTTGTTTTCGAGTTAAATTGGTAGTAGTTTTACATTGATGACATCGGATTACATTATAAAAGTCCCTTGTGCCAATGGAAAAATTGTTTGCAAGATAGGCAATTCCGCATCATTTAAAGTCCGCAAAACTCTGCCTTCCTCGCCGTCTGGCTAGGCTCAAAAGGGACTAGCAGTGCGCGGGGATTCGTAATGTTACACGGAACACATGTTCCAAGGAGATTGCTTCCATGGAGGAAATGCATTCCACTGAGTCGTGGCAATATCCACGTAACGTCTTAGTTCTATGGAAATTCCGTGGAAATGCAGGAAATTCCTTGGAAACCCCATCCTTGTACGCAAAGCACTGTTGGGCGGAAACCATCCCAACGTCCATGGAAATTCATAACTTAACTGTTTCAAAATGCACATGCAGAAAAAAATCATCGCTTTCTCATATGAAACCAGACTATTGAACTAATCAAAAAAGTAAATGAGGGGAATGAGTTAAAATTTGTGAAATTAGAAAGTTTGGATAAAAAAGATCGCATACATAAACCGAGACTGTTGCTTGAAAGGTTATGTGATTACATAGAATTCAAAACTATTAGAAACGAGTCCTCGAAATTAGATCTGTGGTCTTTCTAGATTTTGAATTTTTTTCCGTTTTAGAATGATAATTGGGGTGTTTCTCATGAATTTATCGTGAGTTTTTTTCTCCATTAGAGGTCGTTTTTTGGGATTCTGTCTACAAATTTAAGCCCGGACTTCACTTAGCAAAGCAGTTTCCCACGAAAACCGGTGGATCTATAAAAGTGAGGATAACTGATAAGAACATTGCTGTAATTTTACAGTGCCACCATTATTTAACAGCTGTGTCAATAAATTACAACAGTCCTCGTAAAAGTGCAGCTCCAACCAAAATCGTGTTTTACGGATAGGGGTTTTTGTAGGAATAAAATGTTACGCTGTAAAAGTACAATGTATTTCTTACAGTGGACACGGGGCAGTTTTCACGGGCGCAGAGGCATGATAGAGATCCGTAAGACAGAAATTTCGCTCGTTTTGTCCTAAGTAACGGTTATTCCGGTACAGCCAGTAAATCGGTCCAAATGGAAAATGGATAGAAAAATTGCCTACTGGGTGTACCACAGGAACCGATCGATTTATGACAAAACAAGTTAAGGATGGTCAAATGGTATTTCATACACACTACAACTAATTGGGAGGTTACCTTCCTCATTCGTTCGAATTCGTTTGCATCCCTAGTGGAAACGGCCACATTTGCCGTTCGTTCAAGAATGGTTTGAATTAAGTAGTATCAATATCGATTAACCTTGGTAACATACAGGATTTAATTACGCGAAAAAAAAAACTGATCCGTAACTTCGATGTAGACTTTCATACTTATATCGTTTTTGAAAAGAAAATGTCAATTTCCAAAGATTCTCGCCACCTCCAAAACTTTTGCCTCTTGGTAACTAAGCCTGTGATCTGCACCCAACACACCGAGCCTCATTGGGTTTGCAAATCAGAAGATGAAAGAAAGGTTTGTTCTCCTAGAAAAATATAAGGTACCCAAATTTTAGTTCTCTAAAGAAACTACAGAACGTTGATCCGAATACGGTGCTGATCCGAAATAGATTTGGTTATTTTACATTCATATTTGGTACCTTCCTAAAACCAAGCACAAAGGCCAAAAATTCTAATTTTTAAAAGTTTGTGTATGGCCAACCTATTGCGCCACGATTCACCACGCAATTCAGCTATGATGAAAGTATTGTAATCCGATGCTCTTCGCGATGGTTGCAGCTTGGTGGACAGCGGATGAATCTCACGGAATTTGAAGGAGTCAACACTCTAGGTGCCCTCATCGAAGCTACATCCACTTCACCGAATAGACCATTTTATGGTGACTTGCACAACATGGGCCATTTGGTCATTGCATTCGCCCATGATCCCGATAACCGACATCTCGTAAGTACAACGTCCTGGGATTGTTATAAAATCCATGGTTGCGTCATTTTTAGAAATGTACAAAATTCGATTCAAAGTTGTCTGATCGATAGCAACTTTGGAACTGCAAACTAGCATTGGCAAAAGACTTCTCTAGCGAGTCCAAAAGAACATACAGAACCAAAACGTGTCGGAAACAGAAGTAAAGAGGGTACATATTACGCTCTTTTACATTTGTGATATATCCAGGGGTTTAAAACAATTCTTTCTTGCTAAAACGTCACTAAAAGATTGACATACAAGCTGTTTTTAGCCCGCCCTTCTGCTTTTAAAAAGGCATTAAAGCGGGCTTATGCAACCGCTCTCGTGTCCATCCGTCCGTCGTCCGTGTAAGAGGACGGAGGTGAGGTAGAGGTGTACAAAATTCAGGGTATCTAAGGGGTCACTTCTGGACAACGAAACGCCTGGTGCAAATTCTGGCAACTACCCCAAAGGAGCTGAAAGAGGGTAACAAAGAAATAGGGGTTGGTCCTCAAAATGGGGAAAAAATATTTCCGAGCCGGGCGGAACCGAGCCGAGCGGAGCCTGAGTCCCGAGCCGTCGGCCGCGCTAGTCTACGCTAGTCTAGTCCTCCCTCTCCCTCTCACCACTAGAGCCCCCGCACCGCCCTCCCCCCCCTCCGGCCTTCCCAAATACAGAAAAAACTGGCCTGCCGGCCGGTAACGAGACAGTCGGGCTCCAAAATTCAAATTATACAGGCGCTAAGACTTGTATCTCTTAATTCAATAAGGCATCAAAATCAGACTGAAAATCTTCTTATCAAAACCGGAACGTTATTCGGCAATATCCGACAGCAGCAACCTGTATCAAAACGGGATACTTTCGCCTTACCCACGAGCGCTTTTTCATGTTACGGAAAGCTGTGGTTAAAATCAGAAACAACGAAAATCAGCAAATTATGCTAAAATCACCATTCAAATTTTGCTGGATTCGTAATTTCTGCGCGCGAAAACAAGCAGAATTCATTTTTCAGAGCGCTGTGGTTCAACTTAAAAATTTGAGGCTGGGGATCGCTTGTCAAGTGGACGGGCCATATGTGGCGCCCAGTGCCGATTGAGCTCTAAGTGGGTAGGGGTTGGGGCACGAGGCGCAATGCAGATTGCCTCAAGAGGCTCAAGTGGGGTTCGGCTGCCCCACCATGGCCCGGCGCGAAGCAAGGGATAAGGGCGCTCTGTTTATAAACACAACTAGGGCGATGACAGCGTACTGCTACTGGGGACGAACGTAACGACGGACGCCGCGGAGAAAACGCCCGCCCCCACAAAGAATCTATATAATCATCGTCAATCGGCTTATCATAACTGGAACGTTAATCGGCTATCTTTATCAAAACTGGAAACTTTTTTCTTCGGGTAGAGATAGACCACAAGGGACTGTCTAGTAGTAGACTGGAATAGAATAATTCTTGACAAGGTATCATCTGCTTTCACGATCTGTTTCTGGTTGGAACTTTTTTTAATGCCTCTGCAGAGACATGAAAGTCATTAACAAAAAGGGTGCTGATTCGTACCTATGTTTTTCCAGTGTGGTTAAGGACCGTTTTTTATCCCTGCAAAAACACCACCTTCTCTTCATCGAATTGTATGACCGTATTATTTGTGCTTCCTTGTACAGGAAAATTTCGCTATTATGGGGGACACGGCTATCAACATGAGGGATCCTGTCTTCTACCGCTGGCACTCGTTTGTCGACGATATGTTCCACGAGCACAAGCGTACATTGCAGCCTTACACCGTGCAGCAGCTCGACTTCCCTGGTATCCAGATCAAGGTAACGTGTTTCATTTATTGAAGCTTCAATGAAAAAGAAAACTTCAACAAAGTGTGTTTATTTATACCTCTTAAACAACATGCAGACCCAGGTTTGCTCCCTCATACACCGTAAGTTTTGATTAGACTTTGGACTTACCTCCCTTGCACTATAGGAACTCGTGCACCGATAAACCAGGTAATGTTTAACTGCTCAAGACGTCTAAGTGATTCACTTCCTAGTTACAAAGTTGCATGAAGAAACCCTGCTGTAAGTTGGCTTGGCAGCGTAACAGTAAACGGCACTTACCATTAAGATCACTTTAAACACACAGTTTTTAAAAATTGCGGGGTTAGAGTGCAGAGATACTACCAATCTACCATTTACCACAAACTTCGCGCATTTGACGCGTTTTTGAGAGGAGAGACCAATCTGTATTGAACCGAAAACAACAAAGTTCAAAATATACCCTCGTGAATTTACGACATTTGTTGTAAATTTTACTGTCAAAATAGGACAAAATATGTTGTTAACTTCCGACAGACCACGTTTGCTTGTCAAACAATTCCAAGTCGAAACGAAGTGCTAGAGCTAGAAAATTTACAATTTCAAATTGTAAAACGACACGCATTATGGAAAATACACCCGTAAACATATCGACTATTTAGTAAAACTGCTTTACAAATATCCAAATCCCCGACTTTTCTAACCATCACTGCAATGGTTTTTACAGGTCTTTGAAATTTGGCGCGTCTATGAACTTATTGTTCCTTGGTGTTTATTGTGACTCCAGGGTGCAGAGGTGAACTCAGATGGCGCTCGGAGACCCAACGAGTTCCACACCTACTGGCAGCAAAACGACATGGACCTCTCACGAGGACTGGACTTCTCTCCCAGGGGTCCTATTTTCGCACGCTTCACTCATCTCAACCACCGCCCTTTTAGCTACCGGATTCAGGTTAGTCACACAGACGAAAAAAGCTTTCAAGTAGTTCAAATGACACTTGACACGAGTACACTGTCAGCCGTATATTAGAACTTTTCAGAGATTTTGCTCCCGTTTCGTGGTATTTCTCAGAAGCCACGTTTTCGAGTTTTTAAGCTGTGTTCAGTAGTGAAAAGCATTGAAAAAGGCGCGGTGCGGGCAACCCAGCTATTTCAAAGATTAACCAGTCAGGTTAAAAAACGACGCACCCGTGCAACACTGGCGAATCTGTTTTGGGCGGACGACCAAATGCGAATCAGTTTCGGACGGACGAACAAGGGCGAATCTGTTTTGGACGGACAAACAAGGGCGAATCTGCTACCACCGACTTCCGGGATATTAAAGAATTGAACTTTGAAAGCCTTTCACAATTCACAGGAGTGTCGTATTCAACTGAGAGGTGTCTCATTTGAAAACCTGCAAAATTCTGAACAGCTCTTGCTAAAGTGACATTTTGCTAACACATATAGTTCGGAAGTTATCACGATGATTCCAAAATGTTGACAATATGAAGGACACCAAAGTGCCGCCGATGCATATGTTTATTATTTGCACCGCAGTCTTTGAAAATTAGTCCCTAGGGCCAGACCTGAGAGAGCCTGGAGGGTAGGCATCACTCTGCTCCACCACACAGTGTTTGCAACTGCACCCTTCCGCGACCTTTCTTGCCCTGCCACGACAGTTTTATGTTTCACACATTATCGAAAACGCTGGCCTGCTTAAACGACGCTGACCTTCCCTCGCACTCTCGACGCTCTGATGTCAATCTGCCATTGCGCTGCCGAGCCGGTGGCGCAGGCAGATCCGCCTTTGTTGCTAGCCGTTCTCGCGCGGCCGTCCAGATCCACCTTTGTGGCAAAACATATTCGCCTTTGTTCGTCCGTCCAAAGCAGATTCGCCAGTGTTGCACGGATGCGTCGGGAAGTAATTTCAGTTTCAATTCATGGACTTGGATCTTATCGAGAACACCATTGACAACCAAGACCGGGTCCTGAAATTCAAGGAACATTTTTAACCGTGTTTTGTTTAACCTAGGAAGTATTGGTTGGATCGGTACACAGTCAAAGTTCTAAAGTGGCATGCTGGTCAGGTTGATTTCTTAGTGTACACCAGAGGTCGCAAGCTCGTGGCTCGCGAGCAATTTGTTTCCCTATCCCGCCTTAGCCGAGTATGACAATTCGTAGGGAGCTGTACTCTACTTGCTTTTCACTAAGATATTGTGTCTCAATACATTTACTGTCTTTGCAAACGCGTGCAAACAACAGTGCACTTGCCGGCGCTTGCGCTAGCAGGCAATGCGCGGCTCGCCGTGAGGCACAAGTTTGCTACCCCTGCCGGACACAATTCAAACAGATGAGCTTCCACACGGTAATAAAAGTTTCAGAGCTGACAACTGACACGAAGTTTGTATTTTAGGTGGAAAATACTGCTGCTGGTCAACGCGAAGGCTACGTCCGAATTTTCATGGCACCCAAAAATGACGAGCGAGGAGTGCCACTACAGTTCCGAGACCAGCGCCTACTCATGATTGAGTTGGATAAGTTCCCCGTGAAACGTAAGCAGAAATACTCTAAGAGGACGGTTTAACACAGACAAATCGGATAATGCTGGTCAGTCTACTATAGGGTAAAGGGTGCACTAATGTAGGCCAGTCCCGCAACCAGGAAGTTTGAACGATTATTGCGCTGATGGTTCCTTACACGGAGTATAAGTGGGTTGTTCTTAAAATACGGGCAATTTAGATTCCGCGGCCCTTCACAACTATATGATATGAATTTAAAGGGGTTTTATACCATCTAGATACTAAAAAGCACTTACATTTGGTGCAATACTAAAAACCTAAGAATACTGCAACAGTGGGTGACCAGAGCAATTTAAATGGTCAAAATGTGAACTCCAGTAAGTTCTTAATGTCTAAATCCATGCGGACGTTGCCAAATTCCGGACAATTTTAAGTGAATAGCCGTCTAAGGCACATTATATTTCTGGAGTGACATATCCAAGGAACGCAAGGAATGAATTTCAATCTGGAAATACTTTTCTATATTTTGTCAGAAGACGATTTAAGTCGTTCTTACTAACTTTTCAAAAAGTAACGGAGCTCACAATGTTTGCTCTGACGTCGAACTGGGCAGAGGTAGAGTAGCAATCCTTCGCCCACAGTACACTACTCTATGGTTACGATTTATGTTTCCCAAAGCAATCGGCAATGCTCCTACTCCGTCATCGTAAAAAAATGTCAAATTCGAATGTTGGCTTGTACGCTTTTGCAGTGTGAACACCGTGTCGCCTCCACACAGGCACAATAGCGTCATATCAAATTCCCCTTTCAAAGAAAAGTACAGTCATTGTCCCTAAATTCGGACGGTTTTTGAGGAAAAACGCCTGTGATATCTAGAATTTTTGAAATATGAAAAATCGCTGGGGATTCTAGAATCCTCACGTCGAGACGCACCTACCACTCTCCGAAAATATTTTTTCGCGCTAACGGTATAGGGGTGAGGGCTGTTTGAATCGTGTCCGTATTTAGGAACCAATGCGTCCTAAATTCGGACAGCTTTGAAAAATTATGAAAAGTGAAATTTTTTTGGGGGGTATAGAAACTTCATGAAAAAATTTGACCTTACGCTACCGTCCAAATTTTCGTATCTGGTGTAGTCTAGTTGCCAGAACTGCTTAAAGATCGCTTTTAATGCGCCCTAAATTCGGACAGTTGTCCCTTTTGCATGTAAAAGCCTATGTCCGAATTTAGGGCGCATTGCAAAAACGCTTCCCAAAATTAAACCGTGCGACGAAAAATCAAAATCTTGGTGTCATATTGTAGGTAAAAGTACCAAGTTTCACATATATTGTGGTCAGAATAACCCGGGCTTACACTGTTCGGAGCCCCAAATTCTTGCAAGACACATTTAAAAACGCCTGTTTTTGGGGGCTAAAAATACAAATTTCAGGAGTTTCTGGAGGAAGCAATATTACTCACACATTTATTTTTTTGGCAGAAATGGAAACTTGGTGGTCTTACCTTTCCATCAAACCCATAGAAGTTAAATTTTGTCAACGCATAATGGATTTGGAGGCGACAATAGTGAAATACGGCAAAATGTCCGAATTTAGGGCGCAAGTCCGAATTTAGGAACAATGACTGTAAGGTTTTGATGTGTTGGTTCTTTTGTGGCTAAGCGGGTCGTTGTATCTGCAACCCCGGATTAGTAATGCTTCAATTATAACCTTAAGACTTGAGGACTCCGTATCCTCTTTTTAGCCCGCTCTTTTGCTTAAAAGCTATATAAGCGGGCTTATGCCATCGCCCTTGTGTCTGTCTGTCCGTTCCCCAAGAGCTAGAGGTCTGAAATTTGCAGGGTATTATTGTTGTCACTTCTGGACAACGAAACGGTTGGTGCAAATCCTGGTAACCGCCCGAGGGGGTAACGAAGAAATAGGTGGTGGCCTAAGAAGTAGGAAAACAATATTTGTATTATGGTCTCCTTAGGGGTAACTTGTAAAAGTAGAGTTCTTTGGGGGAAAATTTCGTCCGTTTGGCTCTATCTCTCACCGTTAAAACGCTAGAGGGAGTTTTTCTCACAAAAGTTGCCAAAAAACAAATATTTTATTTTAAGAAAATATTTGATGGTCTTCAAAGGGGTAAAGAAGAGCTCTCTGGGCTAGAATCTCGTCCGTTTGGCTTTCACTGTTTACTTACGAAAGCGGATTTTTCTTACTGAAATAGCCAAAACAGAATCTTTTTCATTTTTTTCAGGAGTACACTTTTGTCTGAGAAGTAGCCTATGCCGTCGGTTCAAAATTTTCTTCTAAGCAGAAGAGTGGGCTTATATTTGTGGTGGCACATCATTAATAAAATGTGTACACTCCCATACCAAACAAGCAGGCCCGCCCTTCCGCCAGCTCCACTTCGCTGCGCCGGCAACTCCGTTCGGCAGGGGCTGGGCCTGGTTGGCCTGCCGGCGGCGATGGTCGGGCCTGCGGTCCAACCATTTCAGCCTCGCGATTTACCGGAGAACATAACCAAATAAATAATGTGACCGGTAAATCACTTTGCATATTTGGGTAAACTAACTTCCGGTGGGGGTCCTGCGGCCCTAGAGATTTGCTCCTTTTACATGACAAAAGACTTTAACGGGGCAACACCGTGACTACACCCCACCTTTCTGCTTTGCTTCAGAAAAATCCAAAAAAAGAACCAGCGCAGTTTTTAGATTGTATTGTTTGTCAAGCAGTCTTAAAACTTGACTTTTTGCCATTGTTTTCATTATATCCACCTCTAGGGCCGAAACAGTGAAAGATCCGAGGGCAGTTCCTGATTCAAAATGTGTTGTTTGGGGGGGGGGATACTTCCTCTTCCATTTTACGATTGGAAGCCTCCCAGTACGTCTTTATGTGCAACGTGGTCATTTTCTCCGTATTTTCGTCCGTTTTTTCCCTACTTTTTGGACCATCCCCTAGTTTTTTGGTTACCCCCTTTCACCCCCTTAGGGGTGGTTGCCAGAATTTGCACCAGGCGTTTCGTTGTCCAGGAGTGACCCCTAAGATACCCTAAAATTTGTAGACCTCTAGCTCATCTCCTCCCTCTTACACGGACGACGGACGGACGGACACGAGAGCGGTTGCATAAGCCCGCTTTAGTGCTTTTTTAAAAACAGAAGGGTGGGCTCAAAAACAAACATTTATTTCGTTGTTTTGTTGTACTTCACACATGCTGCTTCCGTTCTATCACTAATTAAAGCAAAATCATTGCGGACACGTTCGGAGTTATTTCAGAGTATGCCTGGAAGTATATTTAACTTCTTCTGGGTCTAGCTTTAAATATCTTTTCATAGGTGTGTTATTTGATCCATAAGCTAACATCAAAAACTTAGAAGGGATTTGGCATAACTTGCATGTATTCTACAAAGTGCGGCACACATAAACAAAGCTGATGAGCGTATGAAAAGAATGCTTCGTTTGTTGAGTAAGTAGACAGCAAAGGTACCTGGCATGAAGATGTTTCAAAGCGAGCTGTCACTCAAACGGGCCGAAGGCCCGTTTTCCGATGGAAGCTTTATTACACCAGGCCCGTCCCAAACGCCGCCGGCAGGCCAAGCTAGGCCCGCTCCCTGCCGAACCGAGTTGCCGGTGGAGCGAAGCGGAGCTGGCAACTTGGTTTGGCGAAAGAGCGGGCCTAGCTTGTTTAGTTCTGGCCTTGTTTAATAACTTTTAGGCACCGGTAACGCGTTGTAAAGGCCTAATGAGGAAATATGTAGTAAGGGGTTAATTTAGAACCGTAAAATATGAGGTTGGGCATCAGTGGAGCAGTGTCGAGGCGAAAAACAAGTTATTTATTGCAATGTTCTCGTACTACATTGCGTAAAATGGGGATGACTGGATGTAAAATATGAGTACAAGACACTAGTGAAGCAAACAAAAGACCAATTAAATTGTACGGGGGGCAATATTTGAGTTTCATCATTGTTTGAACGTGACCACAATATGGTCGTTCAACCTTGCGCTAGAAGTACGTGATTTGAACTATCACCACTTTTAACATATCTTTATTTCATAGTAAATAAAACCATTGCGACCAAAAAACCTAGCAAATTCGACAAAAATAAAAATAAAATAGGAACTCCCCAATGGCCCATCTGAGAATCCACCAAGTACTTCTAATTCGTACTGCTAGGTTGCGCGGCTATTTGACCATCTTTGCTGAGTTCACCGAGTACGTCTTCGAGTGTGCTATGAGTGCAAGGTTCATAATCAAAACCCAGTTGTCACATCGCAGCGATACGGACATCAATAAAGTGCTGAAAAAACAGCTCATTGGGTACAGATCACAGATATTGATCTTGATTTCTCTGTGTTCATACGTGTACTTCAAGTGAGACATTTTGTTCGGCAACAAAAAATGTACTTGACTTGCACGGAAAAATACGTGGTTTAGCTAACGTTTTGACTACTTGGTGGACACAAGAAGCTGCAATAGCTCGTAATTGGCTGTGGGACAACAAGAATAGTTGTGCCAGCCAAGCTTTCCTTACTCTAACTAAACCGCGTTAACTACGTAAATGAACCAGTTTTTTTTTGAACTGTGCCGAATTCTTGACTAGCTAAAGGAGAGGCGCAACAACAAATTCTTAGGTACTTATTTTGTAGAATGTCCACCAGGCAGCCAAGATATTAGTCCGTCGGAAAAGAAGGATTTGTTACTACGACTAACGATTAGTTAACATGAACTTAACAAACAATTTTAGTTGCAGGGGCAAAGAATTTGCTATGGGAAGCAAAATTCTGCTGTCACAACTAACGCGTCGTTACCATAGTGTAACAAATGCGTTTGTTGTAAGAAAAAATCCTCGTTTAGTAACCAGAACAGTTGCATTTGTTACCATAGCGACGCGTTAGTTGTGGCAAGAGAATTTCGGTCCCCGTAGCAGTTTCTTTGTTCCTGCAACTAAAAAAACTAAACTTTCTAGCCCACCTCTAGTGAAATTACCTCTGAGGTGTGCAGGTAATGCAGCCCTTCTCAACCCAAACGGTACATTTGCAACCAGCGCTTGAAATTTACTGGCCAATTTTGACTGTAAATTCACTGGCGTGGGCTTGTAAGTGGCTCTTTACCAGTCCACTGGGCATGTAAGGGTTCTTTACAGCCCAAACAGGATATTTCCAATCCATGTGTTGCGAATTCCCGGCCGCCCACTGGACTGTAAAATCACTAACATTTTTTACAGTGAGGTAAAAAGACCAATCAGCAATATCTTCTCTATTTTTTCAGTGAATCAACGTAACGTCTTGATTCAACGCCGCTCTTCGGAATCCTCCGTCACCATTCCATTTGAGCGGACGTTCAGAAATTTAGACCAGAACCGTCCACAGGCAGGCACTGCCGAGGAAGAGCGGTTTAACTTCTGCGGGTGTGGCTGGCCTCAGAACCTTCTCATCCCAAAGGGCACGGCGCAAGGCATGGAAGTTCAGCTCTTCATTATGATCACTGACTACACAAAGGACAAGGTAAACATAAAACATAGAAAAGTGAAACACAATGGGTCTAAAACAAAGAGGCCGACGTCTCGCGCTGCTTTTAAACAAAGTCCTATGATTTTGAGAGCCACGCTCTGTGGGTGAACCATTGGGTATACGACGAACTTACGAATGTAAAATCTACGTTTTATGTCTTCGTTGTTTTTGTTATATTCTGAATGGTTTGCCCGTAATCTGCTGAAAGGGAAAGGATGTCCTTTCCGCGTGGCGTTTGGGACATCAGCCCATTTGTTTTAGACGCGGGACATCGACCCTCTTTTAGGACCCATCGGAAAGAAGACTACAAACAAATTACCGAATTGCCCAAGAGCTCGAAGTCTTCGATCATTAACTAATGCATACATGCACAGCGATACGCTAAAAAATGTCCCTCAGTTTTGACGCGATATGCTGCTTATCAACTATTCGAAATTTTCTGGTAGACTATAGTTAATGAACTGTAAGAATGGAGCTCCGTATCCGTATAACTCTGTGGGGTGACCCTTATGTCCTACACAGAAAACTAATCAAAAAGCAGTAGAAATTAAAAACACTGTGAAAAATTGTCGTACGGGTACAGGAAAATTTTCCATGGAAGAAGTCGTACAAGTACAATCTAAAATTGTACAATTTACTAGCCCTATGTATCGACCTGGAATCGAATATGGAGCGACAGTGGGAGGTTGTACATGTACGACTCGTATTGTAAATGGCAACTTACAAAATATATCGTACATGTACAAATATATTTTTCACAGTGAAAAGTCCCTTAGTTTTGACGCGATATGCTGCTTATCAACTATTCGAAATTAATAGTTCAAACATACATTGCTTATGCTTGCTTTGGAATACCCCTCTATTGCAGGTTGACCAGCCACCAGCCGGTCAGTGCGGTAAAGCAACCGCATACTGTGGACTCCGAGGCCAGCGCTACCCTGACAAGAAGCCAATGGGCTTTCCGTTTGATCGGCTTGGACGCCAGGGCGTCAACAACTTGCCCTCCTTTCTCACTAAAAATATGTTCGTCAAAGATATGACGATACGCTTCGTAGACCGCGTCGAGGGCCCCGGCGGCCGCAACGTAACGACCTTCCAGGCAAGCGGATAGGATGCTCAAGGAGCTGAACCTGAAGGACTACTGCTGGATAGCAGACGCCTTTGCAAGAGATACCTTCACGGACTGCAATGGAAACCTACCTGACATTTAAGCGGTTGGCTTTGTTACGTTCATTATGACACGTGAAGAGACTAGCAGATGTGCTGATTGACACATTCTTCTGCTTACTCAACAATAAATCGCGTCACTCCCAAAGAGATCACCGGTAAAAAGTGAAAAGGGTGAAAGTCCATTGTGGTCTGCCGCTTTAGTAGTCATTTTCGAACTTCACCACAAAATCAAAGATTTTATTTTAAGAGCAAGAGCCATGTAAAGTAAGGGTAGTCCTCTTTTATTCACTTAATTTTAACATTTATTCCGAACCTGGAACCCATCACTTCAGATTTTGCTGCTTTTGATAAATCCCAAGTTTTGCTAAACATACTTTATA